TTCTACTGGCTTGAGGAAATGCTACTGACAGGCTATACTCAGGGGAAGCTACGCCAAGTCTGTACAGTTTACCGAAGATACATAAACAGGGTGCGCCTTTAAGACCGATTGTCTGTATGATCAACTTGATCAACTAAAACATCTCTAAGTTTCTGGCTTCGATCCTCAACCCGCTGGTAGGCAGCTCTGAACATCACATCCAGAACACCTTGGATTTTGTTGAGAAGGTGTGAGATGGTCTCGTACAATGTTACATCTCTCTTCACTTGTATTCCAGTCACTGAAGCAGTGGAGGTAGTTCGTAAGAGATTAAAGGATAGCTGCACTATTTAATAGCAGAGACATGTAAATACTTTGCATTACATTTTGAATCCACTACCTTAAAAGAGCTCCAATTTACAGACAGAAATGTCAAAAATGTTACAACTATCCCCGGTCTCCCCTACTCGTGTTTTGTGTGCCGGTAAGTGTAAGCTAGTCAGTTATACAGGAAGAGGCTGGAGTTGATTGTTAGTCTGCCATTTGCATGCAAACCCACTGCATATGGAGCTCATAATGCAAGTGAAATAGACTCTATATAGACCACAAAAACAGCCAAAAAAAGTCAAACGGAGAGATAGCAGGAACCACAGGAGCGAGCAAAGCAACGTGTTAGCTGCAGACACAGGTTAGGAAAACCCAAGAAATACAAAACCAGAGAGTACACTTTGTAAAGACAGTTGTCTCACTGCCACGTGGACATTGAGGTTATACCAGTTTTAATAAATGGGCCCATTAAGGCCGATCAAATGGGACCAGACTGACAAAGACTAAAGTGGAAGTAATTTTCTCTATATATTATAATATTTTATTTAAAAATTCTAAGTAAGAAATTTCATTACTTCTTTACTTGAACAGCAAATCAGACACAAAAAAACCCTTAGAAGCCTCAACGTCTGGAATAACACTCTGTGATCAACCTGTAAACTATGAATTGAAGAGTACAGAGAAGGCTGAGCTCACACTGTGGAGACCATTTATCTGAATTTCTGTCTCCTGCACTACAACCTGTTGTTTTCTTTTTCAAACCAACTGTTTTTGGTATAAACCAACTATTTGTAAACATGTTATAATAAAAAATAATAACAATATTAATAATACAATATAAGCACGTGAGAATACAAATGTCATTCAAGTCTAACCAATTCCAATGAATGTGCTCAGCTCCAATCTTTCTGAATCAAAGCATCATGAGCTTAAATGCAAATTCATCTCTGCTGCAGTTGATGTAACCCAACATTGATCCTGAGCACCACAGCCTCTGTGCATTAGTCCAACACAGAGCGTCAAACTCACCGCAATACTGCAAACTAACCTATTTCTCCTGCACTAAACCACCCAGTATTTTCATGCAACACTTGAATAACACAGAGTTAGCTTAGTTTGTTTTGCAGAATTTTTCACAATATGAAAATATATACATATTTTATCAAAACACGTCATGTACAGATCCAATATGTGATTAAAATGATTACATGCAATCTTTAAATCTGCAGTTTGTCAAATACCACTGAGAAACCTAACTTCTCTTTCTCCATCTCTGAGTCAACTTATCTCACACTCTTTTGTCTCCCTGTGAAATACAGCAGCTGGACCTTTAGCTTGCGACACACTGCAAACACACAAACTGCACACAGACAGTTTGTGTGTTTGCTGGTGTTTGTTGAGCCCATAGAAACGCTACTTTTAAAATGACCTCACACTTAAAAAATAAAAATGTTACTCCCTTTGTGCTTCCTCCTCTTCAGAAGCACTAGCGGCATGCGCTCGCTCCAGCCCGGTATAAACGTTATAAATTATACCTTTGAGCCCAAAATAATGAGCTTGATTTAAAAATGTAAAGCGTAGAAAGTTAGGTCATTTATGTAAACATGTAGTGAGTGAAAGTAAAAGGTCAGAAAACATTTTTTTTTACTTTCTTTTTTTCTTTAATAAAGAAAAAAAAGAAAATGATACCTAAAAATACAGCTTAAATGTACTTTGTTTCTTCACACCTGTGAATTTGCGTAAATGTTATACAGACGAAGAGTTGTATGACGTGCAAAATGTCCCGTTTTACACCAAGCCAAGCAAGAGACTTGACACATTTTGATACCCAAACCTCTAACCAAGGTCAATCCACTGACCTCCACCTGTTTGAGCACGTTTGTCATTTGCTGAACGCAGAACGATTTATGACCAAACTGCTGCAGGCGACTTCATTTTAAGTGTGCTGTTTGTGTGTGCAGAGGGAATTACAAAGACTGAAATTTGTACTCTCCAAAACATTTAGAGGTCATCTACTAATGGGAAGATCCGAGGTTTGATTCCTGGCTGCTCCAGTCTGCATACCAAAGAACCCCTAGTTACTCTCATTCACTCTCCAATGAACACATCAAAGAGTCCATCGGAGAGTGAATGTTAAATAGAAAGCACTTAGGTAGAAAAAGGATGGAACAAAAGTGCTTAACTCTTTATTTCCAAGCAAGCCATTATAAAAGGCAGAAAAATAAAACAGCATTTCTGATCAAATCACTGATCAGTGTCAACGTCATGCCAGCCGGTGGTTTTGTGAGAGTTTTAAGAGTGAAGCAGAAGGAAGCAAATCTCTTCATCATGCTTGTTGTCCACAACATCTGTTTTTAATTTAGAAAACACCGTTTCACCCCAGACTAGTCGGGTAACCCGACGGAGTGAACAATCAAAGATCTGGACACAAGAGGACTTACGCAGACTTTAGACTCCCCTCAACAGCTCTTGAATCTTGAACTCATTATCCTGTTATCGGTTTCCTGATTGTGTTTGCATGACCTGCTTTGTGTTGGCAGTTTCTGAACAGGCTGCACATATTTATAGTATTTTTTTAATTAGCTGTATTTAACTCCCTATCGCCCCCTCAGGGTTGTTCAGGTGCGCTAATCAGCACAGTCGGTGCCTATTTTTAGGAACTCTCCTCTGTCAACACAATTATTTTCCAAATTTGCCTCTTGGGACCTGACAATAGCTTCTGATGACTAAAGTCAACAGTTAACTCCTCGCGGGACAATTCCCAGAAATGATGACTTGAGTCAAGCCGAGAACAAACAACCGGCTTCTGCTTACAGTCAAAGTAAACAGCTCCACACTTTATGTGACATATCCCACTTTTCTAATTTGCATTTGAACACAACTTCATATTTACAGCTTCAAATGGACACAGAAGTCGTTTTTTTCCTAAACTCAATTACTGCCAGACAGATGCAGACAGCTGGAACCGTTTTCTGGACGCTCCTAAATCCTGCTCTCCCTTTACAAGTTGCCTCGGAAACGGAGCATCTGTTTCTAGAACAGTTAATCCAGGCGACGTCGGATTTCAGGAACGAGGTGCAATAAATATGTATGCAGACAGTTTCCAGTGAGGCCAAGTAAAGGGAGCAGAGGGTGGCATGTTCATTACCTGTGCTGACTGCGTAATATCAAGTCAAATCCAGAGAGCCTAGTGTTTTGCGTTCTAAGTTTAAAAAAAAAATAAAACTTCAATTCAATATTCAAAGGGAAGCTTTTAAAATATTTTTTATTCAAAATACAGCTGCAGGAAAGAAGAAATGGAAACAATTTAGCAATTTTAACCAAGAGGGGAGCATGAAGCAAGTGAGCCTTCCAGTCTGTGTGTGTGTAGTAGCTCCTTTGGGTTTTTTGTTGTAGAAAAACTTTAAGGCAAAGAGTATGTTAATGGAGGCGTATGCATCTCTTACTGATTAAAACAATCCCTGCTTTCATTAAATGAAAGGTTAAAAATGTTTTGGCCTCAGTGGCGTCGATCTGACTGTTTCGGGAACCTTTTTATTTTAACACAGGAAAAACCACAAGGTTTCGACAGCACACTTGCTGCGTTGCTCAGTCTGAATGCAACGTTCTGCATTGTGGTTGACTGCTTCCCACCATAACTGATGGCAGTTAAAGTAAACCACCGCCCGCAGATACATTATGGCCTCCATTAACAGCTGTAGGTGCGAGATGATGAGCGAATAAACCGCTTCAACTAAAAACAAAATGTTAAAAAAAAAAAAAAAAGTAATTTAATTCATTCAATTCAATCAATTTAATTCATTAAACTTTTTAAATAAAGAGTGAGAGTTGAAGTTCTGAAGTTTCACTTTGTTTTTCACACAAGCAGAAACCAGACAGCAGAGTGATAGTAAAATATGCTCTGGAGATGTTTATGAGCGAACATCATCTTTAGATTCATATCACCTTTTTTGAAATATGCAGTCAAAGTGCAAAAGTCTGCTGCTGGTAGGATTTTCCATTAACTCGTAACTCGTTTCTTACATGCTGGCCACATTTATCATCCACATCATACATCCAGGGAAATTTGTTGTTGTTGTTGTTGTTTTTTAAAAAACGAGCAAAGAAGTTGTTTTTTTCCCCATATATGTCAAATTGTATCAGACAACGCTGAGTCACTGCTACAACTCTTTAAAACTTGCACCAGGTTTGGCTTGATTGCCAATCTTTGTGATGATATGACACTGTTGTATCTGTTGAAGTGAGATACATGAATTACTATGTGCCGCTATGCCTCAGTCCCACAGATATGTACTGAACAGGGGGCACACAAAGGGTTTACAAACCACCTGACCTGAATATCTTTAGTATGGCGCGAAAAACCCACGCAAGCACTTTGGAGAAATGCAAAGCAGGGGAAACAAACCTTTCAGTACTTCAAAAGGCTGGCTTGAGGTTTCCTCAGACCTTGTTTCCCTTTTACACAAACTCTCAAGTTCTTCACCAGCAACAGAGTGCAGTCTTCATTCTGATTTTAAAAAACCCAAACGAAAAACAAATAGCACACATTGTTACAAATGTGAGTCAAATGTCTTTTTTTTTTCCCCAGTGCAAAAGTAGAGAGGAAGCGTCACAGGTCTGTTCGAGTCGCTGTTTCACACATCATTGTCATCACCCAAATGAATCACTTCCGTTTTCACAGATAAGTCAGTCAATTTTAATAACCATGGCTCGTTTATTTAAGCCTCACATTTCACAGTAGGACAATGAGGATGTTGTCTTGTCATTTGCACCACTACTGAGTTTTAATTGTGGCGATGTGTGAACATTGAAGGACTTTTGAAACACTGTGCTGTGAATGAGAATCTATTGTTTGAACTCTAAACACACTGATCTCACACCCACAGTGACACAAATCGCCGGGTCTCGAACACAACACTTCAACGTGACTGTCCGACTGAAAGGACCGAGGTAATATTCTCAGCATGTGCTCATGATCTACAGTGTGACACATTCGCACTCACAGTCTGATGATACGCACAAAGTGTTGAGTAATACTAGGAAAAGGCTGCTTTGCAGGGGTAGGTGTTGAAATAGTAGGGTTTACAAAGCAGAGCCATTTTCACAGCGGTGCAGTACAGATCCCCTAAGAATCCGGAGACCTGCTGCTTCACCTTAGGGTGCGTTGCTGCCTTCCAAACGGCGTGAATGTCTTCTATGTGTCCATGTGATGTCATCATCTTTGCGTAGATACATGGGTGATACGGCGCCTTGCCCTCTCCTGAGAAATAAGTGTGCTCCTGTGGTGACACACCCACGGTGTTGGCGCAGATGCCCATGAACACATCGTCTATGTAAATGGATGCGTTCAGCGTCAGCGTGGCGTGGTAGATTTTCTCCGCGACATCACTGGAGACAACATACGCAGCCCCAGCTGTGTAGTCTGGGTAGGTCACCCAGGGGTACATCTCATAGGAAACGTAGTATTTGCTCTCCTTGTCGCGGATGGGCGGCGCGCCTCTATGCACTCGACCGATCCAGAAGTCTTTAACACCTCTGCTACTCACGTCCTGCAGGTAGCTCACCAGGTTGGGCATGTGGACGAAGATGTCATCGTCAGCGGTCATGAGGAAGCGGGCGTGTGGGCAGCGGCTGTGCATCCAGTGGAACTGCATGATCAGCTTCAGGGTCAGGTTGTGGAAGGAGTCTAAAAAGTCTTGCTGGATCAAGTCGCCGTGGAGACGATTCTCCTGGATGAGCTGATCCTGAAAACCAACGCCACTCCTCTTGCTCCACAGAGGCTCCGTCTCCTTGGTCTGAACTGCTCCCAGAACGAACACCACCTTGACCGTCACCCCCAGGGTATTTTGGATGTAGGTCTCGTTCCCCCAGGTGGACCTGATGGCCGTTCGCCTTTCAATGTTCTCTGGCGACGTTTTGACAAAGAGGAGGAGGAGAACATCTTTCCCGACGCATTTATTGGGGTGGTCCATAAGGTACTGGAAGTTGCTGAACATTCTGGCTTGCTTTCGGGGGATGGTGAGGCTCTTGTTGATGTAGGTGAACCGGTTGACCAGGTAGCGATAGGAATAGGATTTGACGTGGCTGACGACGCTGTTGTCCAGCTGCTGCCAGCAGACCATCACCACAGAGAGCACAAGGCAGGTGGTCATCACCTGCACCAACTGGCATTTTCGAACACGGCGGAAATTCAGAAACATCCTGGAATGGGATCAACTAGTGGCTGCGGTCTCTGTCTGAGAGGAGGCGGCAGCGGAGCAGGTGTTGGTGCGTTCAGGGGGGGTAAGGTAATGGAGGTCGACAGTGTTGTTTGATTGCCTCAGAGCATCACTTGCTTGGTATTCCATCCTAGGCTCTCCAACATTCAGCAGGAGGCAGAGGCAGTGGTGAGACTCAGTGGGGGCTGCTGGGAAGTGTGATCCATCGGGGTGGGGGTGGGGGGAGAAAGCCACTCAGTCACTCAGCAGCAGAAGACTCATTATTCGCCCACTTAATTTTTGGTTCTGCAAAGAGAGAGAGCGCATTTATAGTTTAATAAATATAAATTAATAATAATTTATATTATATATAAATTAAATATAAATTAAACTAAATATAGTTTAATTTAGAAAAAAAATCTGTGTAAGGTGATTATAGGCAACTAGAACCACATTTAAAAACAACAACTAGATGTGAAAAATCATTTTAGTTAACTAAAATAAAAGTCCACTCTGGAAACTAACTGAAAATAAACTGAATTCAAAACTAAAATTTTAAATGAAATAAAAACTAATCAGAAAATGCAAAACTGTAATAAGGCTGCTTCCGTGCATTTCGACAGGAGGAAACGGAAACATTCAAAAGGCATAACGTCCTTCTTGGCGGCAAAGCATGGCAGATGCATCTCTCGTGTCAAATTCAAATTTCGCAAACATACTTTTTGCCCGCCATCACCCCGTGAACCCCACATGTACAAGTCCCAGAGTCGCACCATTAGCTGAAGAGCAGACTGTTTGTGGTCGATGGGAGATGGTGGTGTTGGTGGGGAATCTGGGGGTCATGGTGTGAGCGAAAAGAATGCAAAAGCCAACGCAGCAAATGTTGCAATGCAAGCTTGTCCATAATGGAGGGGTTTACTGTGCAGACCCAGTGAAATCGCTGAGAGTCATGGAAAACACTGATACAATGGACGGTGTCAGAATAGCTCAGCAGCACAATACAGAGTAACTCACTTCCGTCAAGGCCTAGGCTAAAAGCGGGGGGGGAGGGGTGCTGGGTGGGGCTGCTGTTAGGTCGCAATGAGCGCAGGGCATGCGACTCCCAGTGCGCCCCGAGAGCTTTTTAAACATCACTGGGTGGCCTGTGCCTAATGGGGTCAGTGGCTCCGAATGGCTTTCGTTTCTCTCTGCCCAATAATGAAAAACGCTTCACAGAAACGCTTAACACTTCATCTAGTTTATTACTTTGCTGCCTGCGTGATGCGCTCCTTTTATTATTAATATTTTTCGCAGATATTTTATAAGAGGGAATGCATTCATGTCTTCATTACAAGCCTGCCAAAGGGAGGGTTCTTAACGGTGCGTGACATGTTAGCATGAATTTACAGGGTTTGTTTACCCGAATCACAATAGAACTAAAAACATGCTTCAGCCTTAATAACTGGGAGAGACATTATTGGGTATTTATTCTAAAGGTTTGAGATATCTGTTTATGGAGGGAGTTGCGCCTCCCTATAGAGGGGATGACGTGCAACAATGCACAGCTAACAAAGGCAATGTTCTAACACGAGCTTTGAAGGCAGTGCCACAAACAAAAATCATTTCCATTTAGCGCTATCTGTATGTGCTGAGGTCAGAGCTTGTAGCTCTTTTTAGATGCGTGTGGAAATGAGGAACTATATGCAACGTTTACAGAAGGATAATATATCCTTCACATGCACAGAGTAAAGAAGAACATGTTGCATTTCTCATAAACGATGAACCAGTTAATCTGTTACACATTTATAGATAATCTTCAGGACTCCTGTGTTAGTTGAAACTGTGCACTTTTCTCTACACGGATGATTCTGCTACAGGATACAGTAGACAGACAGCAGCCTTAAGCCAGTTTCTCAACCTAATCTATCCCCCTTGTATGAATAGTCTTGTAGCACAAAAGCAAAATGAGAAGGAGATGGGGGCCAACTGTGACCTGAATGATTATTCTAGCACTTACCGGCAAAAGAAAGTTTCACCGTATGAATCCAGCGACAGCCTCCTCTCCTATACTGAACTTCCTTCTTGACTGCACGGTGCGTCTCTGCTGTCTGACGTTGACCCCTCCTTCAGATGACAAGAGGCAAAAGACTCAACAGAGGTTGGCATCAGTCTTCTGTGAAGTAGTCAAACCACCTGTGGGAGGATTCGAGTGAGAATGTGTGTAGTCATTTTTTTCCTGTTTTTCCTGTTCCCTCTCTTGGTCTGTGTGTGCAGTGCAGACTTCTGATTGTTTCGGAATGAACCATCTCTGCTCTTGCGCCCTCCCTTTTTTTGCACTGCAGTCAGTTTTCGGTAGGTTGGTAGTGCAGGAAGGACAATAAGAGTAAGCCTGCTCCGACAAACATTACTTTCAAGTTCACAAGCAAACTCCCTGCACACGTCACGCACACACACCTTTGGATTTTCTGAACCTGTAGGAACCAATCGGTATCTGAAGATAAATGCACTATAAACACACTGCATCCTGTATACTAGCCAACGGACACATCATTGGTCCCTTTGTCTAACACCAGGAAAGGACTACCTTCAAAAGAGTGTTAATGCAAAATGTGGAGGCAATCAGTGACAGGCAACATAATCAACGTACTGACAGCTCTGACTATAAAAAGCCCACACTTTATCCATTCAGTGTTCACACCAAAGCCTCAGTATCACAACCCTTTTTATTTATTTAGCTTTATAATGAAATGTAGCAGCCTCCACTCCATTAAAACAGGAAATATGAAACCCTAAAGCGGCGTGCCCTGAATTTCACCTGAGAGCCGGTGCGTTGGATGTCTAAAAATATACAAAATGACCTCATTAGACAGAAATGTTTGTCAGGAGGTTACAGAAATGAAAGACTACACTATGATGCATCAGGTTCTGCACAGCATATGACTAACTGTATTGGGAAAGTGTGAGGAAAAAGTTGTGCTCGGGGTTGGCTTCCCACTCGCACACTCACAGTAATGCTCACATGCTTATTAGATCAGCAGGCACACAAAAGGATCTCAGATCACTGGGACAGTTTTTAATTATGGGAAAGCCATAAAACCAGTTACAGGCGTCATTAATTTACTTTATTAACATTTAACACTAGGTGGTTTGGCACCAAAACAAATAATCTAGTTTTTCACTCCACTCATTTATTCGCATGATGATTTTTGGCCCCATCCTCTCATTGTTTCTTTGCATAGGACTTGTTCCTGGTTAACATCCTGCATTGAATCGGGAGCAGAAACTGGCCACGATCAGGTGCTTCTCTTTAAGTAATGCACGTCTCTGTCTAGAATCCTGCAGAGAGCACCTGCTCAAGACCGCTTTATGGTAAAATTATGTTCTTTCCACTGACGGATTATGGACCCAACAGCGCTCACTGAAATCTTCAGTAGTTTATAAATTCTTCTGTAACCAGTGACATCAATATGTTTAGCAACAATAAAGTGTCGCAAAAGCTCATTGGTTTTCCCCGTCACAAGATGTTTTTTTGTGTAACACCTTGGTAATGAGCCATCTAGCACTTAAAAACCAACTGATACTGAAAGTAATAAATTCCTAAATTGGATTAGATCACAGGTGTCGGACTCCAGGCCTCGAGGGCCGGTGTCCTGCAGGTTTTAGATGTGTCCTTGATCCAACGCAGCTGATTTAAATGGCTAAATGACCTCCTCAACATGTCCTGAAGTTCTCCAGAGGCTGGTACTGAACTAATCATTTGATTCAGGTGTGTTGACCCAGGGTGAGATCTAAAACCTGCAGGACACCAGCCCTCGAGGCCTGAAGTTTGAGACCCCTGGATTAGATCTTCAACTGGAACACTAGTGACACCAACAGCACCCTCTGTGATGCCTCCAGCTACCAAGTTGATACTGCAGCCCCTCCTCTCAGCAGTAGCTTGAATAGTTAATATTCACAACACTAAACAAAGAAAGCTCCCATTTCAACAACACTGCAGTACTGAACATTTACGGTGCTTGTTTTCGGCACCTCTATGCTCCAACATGTGGCGGTGCGCGGTGGGCATACCTTCTGCTATCCCAGTGCCTGTGTGAAGGATATTACTCTGACCGCTCTGCAGCTGTTGGAAACCCACCACAAAGCCTCAGCAACAGTTGTTCATGTCAGTACTACTGGCTTAAACCATCGTCAGAGATCCTCAAACAAGACTTACACCTCGTGTGCAGTCTGCTGGATACCGGAAAGCAATAAATCAGCTCCGGGTTACTGACCCGCCTGTACTGTTTTGATGACGTAAAAGTCAGCCGCCAGCGTGAAGGCATGTTTCTGCATGTTTAGCTCAACAGCTATTAGAAAAATAAAGACATTCCATTTGTCAATACGAGCATTCTTCAACTGCCTTGAAACACTTGTTGACCAATCAACAATCGGAAGTCGCTTACGTCATCCACTTCCAGCAATTTGCAGTCTCGATCTTGGAGAACTGCACTGGAGCACATCTCAGCTGGGTGAAAACCCTGCTCTGCCCTCTGTCTGACTGAAAAGTGTACGTGGATGGACGCATTTGCTGGACCATAAATTGTGCTCGAGTCTATCAGGTCAGCTGATGCTGTTACCAGTTTTAAATGATTGCTGAAAGCTTGTTTTCAGAGGTTAGCTTTCCTCCCAGGGATTTCCTCCATAATTTTAACCCTTTAAATACCAGTTAACTCACATAATTTGTATGATTTATATAGGGATAAAAGCATAAAATCCACATTTTTTTCTAAATAATACATGCAAACTGATTTATTTTCTAACCATGATGGAGGTTAGATGCGTAGCAATAATTAAAAGGTATCAATGAGTTTTATGCATCTTTGTTTTTTTGTGCAGTGACAGAAAAAAAAAAAAAAACTCCCTCTCAGCTTGTTCGTGGCCAAAAATGGCCACCCCCTGTTTATGTTTACAAAATACTATAAAATTAATATATATTAAAACATTTTCCTACTTTCGTTGACTTGATTTTTTAAATTAGCATCGCTTCTAGTCATAAAAACCAAAATACAATTCAAATTCAGATATTATACCCTTTGAATACCAGTCAGATTATGTATTATTGCTACGCTTTTGGTGGAAAATAGTAATAAAGTTCACATTTTTTAGCATATGAATGGTGAAACCTAATTTTTTTTTATCATCATTGCAGGTCAGTAACAGTAACAATGATTTATTTTTACTTTATTTATTTATCTTTTCTTTGGGGGTTTGGGGGTTTGGGGGGGTGAATGGACAAAAAGAAAATCACACATGGTGTGTTAGTGGCCAGAAAGGCAATTTAATGACCAAATAACCACTGAAATGACCAATAAAATGATCAAAATTTATATTCCAGTGTGAGCTTCTGTGTGCATCCTCATTAGCAGCAAGATGTACTAACCACATTAGAGTGGTTTTTGTAGGCACACTTTCTACACCTGGTGCAAGGGGCTGCTGTTCCAGTCCTGGAGGTGCGCCTTTCGCACCTTCTTCTCATTTCGTTGGTGGGATGTGCGTCACACTCTGGTTCATACTACTGTATCTTGAGATCAATGGCAGAAGTGGCTGAGAATCAGGGACAAGGGTGTCTTGCAGTTGTTGAGGTCACCAGCATGTGTCCCTGATTCTCAGGATCACTCTTCATTTGTAGGTTGTAGAGGACTCCTCCACTTCAGTGAAGTTGTTTCCGGCGGGACAAAGGCATCGTATCCCAAGACATCCAGGAAATTGGAGAAAAGAGCCATCAGCCATCAGTTAGTTTTCTTTCTACAACTCGAGGTGCCAGCATCCTCTCTAAGTTATCCAAGCAATATTTGTGCCTATTGTAGTCCAGGATTGCTTCTTGCTTTCACGCATCCTTTATTCTCCATCACTGACTGCTGGTTCCTTGTGTGTTGCTGTCAAAATGCACATTCCTCCGTTGCTTTGGCATGTGGGATATTGCTGTGGTAGTTTTGGTGAAGCCAAAGACAGACAACAAAATCGTCCTCTGTTGCAACTGGAGGAGCTGGGGAGGAAGCTCTGGGTTGTTTCCCCTGTGCCAGTTTTCATCTGAGGGGCTCCTCTGCCAAGGTGCCCGAAGGAAAGACGTCGTCCTCGGAGCTCCTCCGTCAGTTGGAGTCTGAACCCCTTTCCTTTTTTTACTTCCTGAGAACTTCCAGTGTTGTCATTCAACATGCTATGTATTGCTTTATTCTGGTGTAGGTTTTATCTCTACTTCATCCATAATCCTCCAGTCCTCACACCTTGGCCTCCCGTGCAGGTTTGTAAGGGTGCACAGCAGCTAAAAGATCTCCTTTGTTATAAAAAGGTCAAAAGTAGATCTCAGGCTGCTAATGCAGGAAACTGCATACAGGGTGACTCCTGGTTTGATACCAGTGGGTTCTGGATTGTAGAGCAGTCTCTCTTCAGTGGTGGGACCCACATGGTTTTCCTTTCATGAGGGATCCACTCAGTCACCGGCTCCTCGGTCTCAGAAAATGCTCCTATGTTCTTTTCCATCAGCTGCTCGACCTCCACCTCCATGCCCTCCAACCCCAATCCTCCCCCAAAGAAGAGGATTCAGGCACTGGCTAGTACTCATCATCAGTGGTGATGCAGTCAGCCTCTTTGGAGATTGTCCCCTCATCTTCTGGAGAGTAAGTTTCTTCCTCTTGGGCAGATGTCTTTTCTTCAAGGACAGAGGACTGCTTGGTGTCCTTGCTCTCTGACCAGATCATATAGGCAGTGCTTGAAGCAGTGATGACCTTCTTGCCATATAGCCAGAATAAATGATCTGGAAGCCGTTAGGCTTACTTACAACAACGTCTGCATCTGCATAAACTCCAGGACACGTTTACAAACAGTGTTTGTTGTTGTTTGCGCTGCAGCTGCAGTTTTGAACTCTGCAAAATGTCCTGTGATTGGGTTTTTTTATTTTTGTTTTTGTTTCTAGAGTTAATAGTTTGGGTATGGTATCTTTTTATGAAAAATACAAGAGTAAAAGTTCTTTTAACATGTGCTTCAAAGCTGAGTTTGTCTGGGAACCTCAAAGCTCAATAGCCTGCATCCACAGAAATTCACTGCAGCCGATATGATGTTTGATGCGTCATTATTTATTCCAGTCTATCTTGCAAATACATGTTTGTGCTGCAATGTCATGCACAAACACAACCTATTAGCCAAAAGATCAAACCTATGTCAAAATTGTTTCATTATTTTGGTCCATTGGAGTGTGGTAAGCCATCAAAGGCCGCTACTAGAAACTCAGAATATTACATGAAATCGCTTGCTTGGCCAAAAATGGGTAAATGATGTAATTTGTTAAAAAACATTAAAAACTACAATTTTCATGTGTTGAGTTTAGAATGAAAGAAATTTTACCTAAATCGCATGATATAGTACTATCAATAACAAGGAATCAAAAAAGGTGGTTATAATGGGTTTCAATTGGCCAAAAATGGCCACGATAGAGTCAAGAGGAACAATTTAGTGTATAGTGAATATTATTGACATTATTAAGGAGCTGATGTTGAAAATTAAAAAATCTGAAAAAAATACACACCTTTGGGAAGTTTCATTCCATTTGCATTAACAGAACAAATGATTTTTACAGTTATATGGCTTAAGTATTAAACTTCCACTTTGTGCTTTCCTCATTTTAAGACATAATGACTAACTTTTAAAGAGACTCAGTCGATTACTAAGATTACTAATGTATAAATAAAACACTTTTTGAACAATGGAAAATGCAACAGAAAGCTAATTATTTACAAATCCCTCAAATCTTATTTAACTGGAAACAGCACAAAAGACAGACAAATGGATTTGCTAAATATGGGACGAATAAAATGTTTCTTGTCTCGTTTTGTTTTATGAACAATCTCATTTTCAAATATCAACAGACAAGTGTCTACTCTAAACGCAGGGGTCCCTCAGGAGCTGAAACTGACAACGATTCAGATGAGCGGAAGGAAATCTTCAAACACTTTGTGACGTTACATTTAAACTGTTGAAATAGTCACCACCTTTTGACAAGTCAAAATGTGGAGGTAACGGTTGTTGTTTCAAAACAAAGTGCCACGGCTGCTGTACTTGTGAAATCGCACTTCAGAATCACTTTTAGCAACAAGGAAGGAAATTATTTCTGTGGCGAGTATAGGGACGCTGAAAAGATGGTGCAGAAAACTGCGTCTGATCAGATGGAGAAAAAAATATGTGGGAGAGTGTATTGGTATAAAATGAAAAGTCTGGCACACAGATATACTGTAAGAATGTCGTGGATTACACCCGTGTGCACTAAACAGGATGTTGTTTTATCACAAGATGGCAGATCAATTTGTTTTGCCAACTCAACTAAACAAGCCGTTTTGTAGATGGTATAACTAACGTGGCAGTTTATCTTAAAACAACAACTGTAATCTGCACATTTTATATTCTCAAAATGATCACCAATATTTTTCTTTCTAAGTCTGTAAACCCCTGCCCTCTTTTATCAGAGACAAGACAGAAAGTGCACTCATATCTGAAAAGTAATCTACAAGAGAGGCTCTCAAACAATAGATATATGTATATTTTATGTAAGTTTCTGCAGTTCCTCTATGTCCCACTTGAAGCTAGCATAAAAACGAGTCAGCCCCCATAGATCTCATATGAAAAAAGGAAACGTTACAGTATTTAAAAGCATTATTACAACCTACAACCAAGAGGAAGCAACAACTTCAATGCTGAGGCTTAAAATGCAGCCACTGTGACACTTGTACACTGAACAAAGCAATGCCATGCATTTCTGTTCCCTTCCCCAAACAATGATGATAAAAGCCCAACCATGATCGCAAGATAATTCCTAAAAAGGAACACACTTCAACACTCAACGGGAAAGCAGGATGCTTTGCAAAACATATAAGAAAACAATTCCCACTAACGATGGAAGCAACAAATTTGCTTCACTGCTTGACCGAGTCACACTCATAATTAACACCGATTTAAACCGGCTACAAACGGACACTCTAAACGGTTCAAAGCATCCGAAACACTTGACTTTGTCTTTCCTGTTTTGTCTCTAAGTGTTTTTATGAATCTATGGGAAACACTTTGCTATCTCTTTATTGTGAAAAGATAACTGACACGGAACCAAAGTTTTATCGTTTCTCGCTCGCGCGCGCGCTCGCTCTTAAATGTAAAACTACTTCTCTTCAAGTAGCAACAGAAGACGATGAGCTAGCTTAATGGCGATTACTTCATTAACCACTAAAATTAATTTAACCAAAGAAATTCTCAATATCTTGAAACTGAAATAAAGCATTAAATTCGTGTAATGTAAGTGGCTGTTCGTACCTTATAGTACGGTCAGAACTCCCCCAGCCGCTGCCGACTACTCCACGATCCTCACCGTTTAATTGGTCGCACGGTAGCTGGAAGGAACCAAACGCCCTCTCGGAGCGAGGGGGGGCTAATTTGCATAGAAGCACACAGTCTGTTAAAAACCCGTCTGTTAAAAGTCTGTTTCTTGTCTATGCCTTGTTGAAACGGGTCATTCATTGTGAAACAGAGTTTATCAATGCCATAGATATCTAATCTTATAAACCAAAGGACTCACATCACCCCACAAGAAAAGTAGTGACACCTGTAGCGACCAGGCATAAAAATCACCCAGCAATAATAACAATAGTAATAATGATTCCATAGCGACAACTGCTTTAGTTTAGTTAGCGTCAGATCCATCAGGGTTGCCAGGTCTCATGTTTCTGCCATGTGACGGGCTGAAGAAAACTAACAAAGCAAGTGTGAGAGGCCTCAAAACATAACTTTTGTAAATAATAATAGCAAGTCCACACCACTTTCCCCTCCACTGAACACTACTAAGTTTGAACGTCAGGCGCAGATTATTATCCATGATCTATCAACTCTGATTCTATCAGTATAAACGCTCAACTGAATAACAAATTCTAATGACAGTTAAAAGTGGTGTCTTTAGGGCATGACAAGTAACCATGTTGATTTGTCTATCTAAAAGATGGATCAGTTTTAAGTGACATTCATGCCACTTAAAACCCCCAACGTAAACTGGATGTAGTTAATCTAGTTTCTAGTTTCATGGCAATCTGACTGTAAGATATTATCTGTGAGACTCAAAATGTTTAACAGGAACTGAAGTTTTGTTTGTCGCTTACAGCTATTTCTAAGAATCTTTCCTTTATTTTTTAGTTTTCGTGTATATGGGGCTTAAATCATACCAGCTTTCATGTCTCATTGACTCGCTACCTAGAAAAAGATCAGGTTACAATCATTCATCTGCGGGAACAGAATAAAGTGAATGTGAGTTTACAAGGAGTGGACTGAGGCCAGTGTTGGTGTTTTCTGTGTTATCAGCTTTGACATGACTTCAAATATCTGTCACATTATTTAACCCAAAGTCCAGGAGTGTGTCTGTAAACATATTATGACACATGAACGTACAAATATGTGACGCTAAAAATGGATCACTGTGTTTCTTGGACTTTTCTATTGGTCTGAGTGCTGTCAGACAAATCTTTCAACTCTTTAACTCTGGAAAGCTGAAGAAAAAGAAGTAACCCTACTGAGCTGTTTGTGCCACGTCTCAGACATCCTCATAGAACAAGATGACTGAGTTTCCGAAGTTGGCGAGGGTGGTCTCTATGCAGCTACCCTCGGGAAAACCCAGAAACCACATCTTTATAGATATATACTGAGGCGTCAAAACTCGTCATCAAGGGTACGGGGGTCGTCTTTATGTGTAAAAGTATACTGTCAAAAAGAATATGCTAGCTCTAGTCAATAACGACCACTGATCACTCTCAAGTGGTTAACAGGCCTTGTTAATTTAAAACACGTGGTATATTTAAGCTTCAATGTACGCTGTTCAGCCCGTGTGTATTAGAGAAAAACCAAAAAATTCAAACTTGTGTGACCAGTTGTTGCTTTTCAAGAATGTATTTTCCAGCCTGAAAAAAAGAACAGTTTGAAGAAATCAGTAAAAGTTCACCATGACATCCACACGCATTATAGTGGCAAATAACCTCACCACAAACGTCACAGGCGAGAGATCGCACGGCTCTGCCTTCGCCTATACCACATACATTGTTTCCTTTACTATAACTTCTTAAGCACCACGCCCCCAGGTACGGGGGCGAAAGGGAGATCGCATTGGTGCTTAACAAGAAATATTGAAGCAATGGAATATTGCTTCACCTTCGCAAGAGCTGACTTTTCAGTCCTATGAAACAAAGTGAAGTGAGAGTTGGCGCTTTGTTCATAGAAATACCAATGCATCTCAATAAATAAATTTTCATATATTTCCTTTGTTCGGAACATGTTATATAATAAATAAATGTTATATAATACTTTTGTCTTCATTTCGGCTTATGACTATTCTACAAAAGGAGTATTAGGAAGAATTAAGATTAAGAAAACACATTAAGATACATTAAGATACACATTAAGAAAACAAATAGAATTGATTTAGAGAATAAAGTCAAAAGGAGGTAACGGTTGTTGTTTCAAGACAAAGTGCCACGGCTGCTATACTCTCAGAGTTTGTGAAATCGTATTTCAGAATCACTTTTAGTAACAAGGAAGGAAATGATTTCTGTGGTGATAAGTATAGGGATGCTGAAAAGATGGGGCAGAAAGCTGCGTCTGATCAGATGGAAAAAGCATATAAACCTGGGAGAGTGTATTTGTATAAAATGAAAAGGCTTTATTCTCAAAACGATCAACAAAAGTCTTCTTTCTAAATGTGGCCCTAACACTCTGTCAGACTGTTCTCAGAGAGCTGTGCTGAAGCATATTCACAGGATATTGAAAGGAAGGGAAAACCGTGTTAGGAAAAGGGAAAATCACAGCCCCGAGAGGAATCTCAGGAACCTGAGAGCACTTCACAAGGAGTGGACTGAGGCCAGTGTTGGTGTTTGGAGAACCACCATGCGCAGACGTTGCTACAACTGTCACTTTACTAATATGAGCACGCACTTGAAGCAGAGACATCAGAAGTGTTTTACCTGATGTAAGAAAAATAAAAGAAGTGTTTGCCCAGTGGTCAAAAGGAAATCCAGGTCTTAAAGTCTGGAGTCATATTAAGTCCAGTCTGTGGGGATTTTAGGTGCCGTGTGATCAACTGGTGCTGGTCACAATTGGTCTGTTGTGTTTTATCGAGTCCAAAGTCAACGCCATTTCAGAGCACTTCATAGGAAATAAACGAATAAATTTTTTATGGAGATTTCCTTTTACAGCAGGACTTTGCACTGGCCCACAGTGCCAAACATGGCAACCATGTTCTTACCTTTCCAGTGGTCATAACCAGCCAACTCCCATGAGCTCCAGCCAAGTACTGAGTGCATGAATTAACATGTTTTGTTATGTTTGACATTTCTATATGGAAATTGGTTTTAATTGGTCTTAGGAAACAATATTTTGAGGTACTGGATATCTGATTTCCATGCGCCACAACACTGGTCTAGAAAACAATATTTTTGTTTGCTACAGAAAACTTCAGATCTTAATCTAGTTTCCTAACATGAAAATAGATTTAAGCTTGCTCACAAAAAACAAAAACCCTTCCTCATGTTTGCCGTCACTTTTTTGAAGACCACACTTGTTTCTTAAATGCTGTAACGCATTGCCGTTTCTCTCCAGTCATCCTAGCTGTCAAATGCTTGGAACACCATCAGTAAAAAACAAATACAAAACCAGACAAAAAACTGTTTTCAGGTTTAAGGGCAGTGAGTGACATTTGTTCACACACAGGTGAAAGAATGCTTATTGACCACACACATTCATTCAATTAGTACCAGAGAAATGACTCGGACACAGGAAATCAACAAGCAAAAGATCAAAGACGTTGATATTATCAAAATAGATTTTATTCTAGACCTTGAGATCTGAGTGATATTACAACAGTCTGATCAGGAGGCTGCAGACTGCAGCCATGTGAGTGAGAGAGAAAGAGAGTACAAGGGAAAAGACGAAAAAACCCCAACAAATCTTAAAATCAGTATTTACACGTTGTGTTATAATACATCGACAATTAAATCCAGATTTTTCTTTTTGTTGTTCCTTTTGAGTATACAGCTACAAATAAATCAAAATTACAAAAGTTTTGATCAGTACAAAACCTTCAAGGGCTCTCCAACTTAGCAAAGATAGAATTAGTACTTTTGGAAGGAACAAAAATTAAAAAATAAAATCGCGAACACACTTGAATGCAGCGTAAAAAGCTTATCGTCTAAAAACAAACCATTATAAAATACCATTCCACCGTCATAGACATCATTTGAAATAGTGTCCTTGTGATTCACTCCAAGTACTGCTGACTGTATTAAAGCAAACTTCAGCATAGTTCAGCTTCAGTATTTTATAAAAAAAAAAAAAAAAAAAAAAAAAAAAAGACAAGTAACATGCTGAACAAAACCTCTGAATTATCCAGCGACGTGTGTGCACATATCTAGCCGAGGGTGTTGTTATGGCTACGAGATGAGAGCGGGAATGCCATGAAGTTAGTTTATCTCAACGTTGAAGTGTCCTACGAGTCAGACAAGACACCGCTGACCTTACTTTTCCTACTGAACGCGTTCTAAATCATTTGAGCCGTCCTCAGGGACTTCTTAAATCAGATGTGCCTGAGACAGTTTCTCCATTTGCACCTAAAGTGCAGGTTAAAAAAAAAAAAATAATCCAAAAAATCTACCATTTTGTCTTTTTCTTTTAAATTTAGTTCTAACTGTTTAATGGTATTTTATAAATAAAAACCATTCCTCATGGTCACAACTGTCAGTGATGCACAAGAACATCACGTACTGTATTTCATGAATCTTGAAAAGGTTACTTTAAAATCCACCCATAACGTAGGAGTGGCATACACACACAAAAAAAACCCTGTAGTAGCATAGATATATATTCATAAATGTATTTATATATATTATATGCAGATACCATGTTACAACAAGTCCTATGCTGAGAGTCTGCATTTTAACAACAGAGACTTGCCTCAAAAACGAGCCGGACGAGACACTGCTAACCTTATTTTTCCTACTGAACGCGTTCTAAGTCATTTGAGCTAACAACACGTTACGAGTCCTATGCTGAGTCTGGTTTTTAAAAGCAGACTTGACTCAAAATGCCAACTCTGAACACTGCACACAAAAGCACCGTCTATCCGTGCATAGGCCTGAACACAGCCTGTCTCCAGAGTGTGTGTGCGTGTGTGTGTGTGTGTGTGTGTGTGTGAGAGAGAGTGAGTGAATGCTGGTCAACTACTACCTGACAACAGCAGGAAACAACACTCCAGATTATCTTGGTCTAATTGTTTCCGGTATCGAGAAGCAATTAGACCAACAAAGCTGCATTATGAAAAACAATGGACAGCAACAAGCCATTAACTGAGAAAACAAGTGCAATTAGGACTATTAATTGTACAAATCCGATGAAGTAATGGGCTGGTTTTCCCGTCTCTGTCACCAAGTGATATCTGCACCGACAGATCAAGGACGAGGCGAGTTTCAAAGACGTGAACCTGAAGCTGACCGCTCTTCAACAGCACTGCTGTCATCAGTGTTAAAAGCTACACAGATCATTTTTCAGCCAGGAGATTTTGAATTCTTCAGGGCACCAACACAACCTGATGAACTGTGATTACCTGAAAACCATTTCTGAGGATAAAGGTTGCAAACAAAGGACAGTTCAACCTTTGATTAACTGCTTCATATTTAGTTTTTTTGTTTGTTTTTTTTAAATGGCAAAAAAAATGGAACGAACCTACTGGATAAAAATAGAGTTGACAAAACTATACACCTGCATTTTTGAACCTCAAAGACTGCAGTAAATGAATTTATCTCCAAATGAACGACTCTGAACATCCACTTTTTAAAAGACAAACATCTTTTTTCTTTAAAAACAAAAAAACATCCCATCTCCTCTCTCTTCTCTCCCATCTCACATGTAATTTACAGAGACCAATAAAGTCCAAACTCAACACAACAATGTCCACAGGACACTAAATGCTGACATATGCAATATGCACACACCAGAGAACAAAAGTCTTTACAAGTCGGATACAAAGGACAAAAAGAGCGAAATCAAGAGGAATCCTGGTGTTTTGGTTTGCTTGTGGTGACACATTTATACTGTGTGATAACAAAGAAATGTTTAACTCCTGCAGGTCTGAGGAGCAAAGACTGATGTCCATGCAGACCTGGCATATCTGATGCATTTGCATATAAACTGTTTGTTGTGGTCCTTGGGTCTATGTCTGATGGAGGGCGTGCTCCAGTTGGCTGTAACAGCGGGCCATGGCATCTGTGGGACTACAGCAGTGTGGCGGACAGGCAGGGACAGTCATTTTGGCTATGTACACATTCGTAGTCGGTCCATGGCTCCCCCCGATGAGTGTCATTTTCTCAGGTCTAGTACGCATACCTGTCAAACAGGAAAGCATATGTGGTTAGACAAAACGTCACCCAGTTTCAGTTTCTGCCGTAGTCAGAAGCTGTGTGAACGCTTCAAGGTGTACAAATATTTTCCAATCAGCACCCAAAAAGAGCAGAGGGCCATACTTCCCCTGTGGCATGTTTAAACAACTGTGTTGTCCCCTCCCCCCCCCCAAAAAAAAGGCAAGGTTCAAATCCCAACAACCCAAGAAAAACAAGGGAAAATTAAAAAAAAAAAACCCAAGGGAAACTAAAAAACCTTGGTCCCCCTTTGGTAAAAAAAAAAAAACCAACAAAAAAAAAAAACGCAAAAAGAACAGCCCCCTAAAAAAAAAAAAGAAAAAACTCAACATGCACATTTCACTTGAAAATTAAGATGTGAAAATGTGAACAAATCAACTTGTTAGAGATATTCTTCTCCTGTTGAAACCCCCCCAAAAGAAATAAATAAGTCTTCTCATCAGATATTGATGCTTCTTTCCTGTGTGACAGAAAATAGGAGACAGATGTTTGTTTGTTTTTTAAGTTAATTCCCAATAAAACTGTTCTATCACTAACTACATTGCTGTCTGTATTACTGCTGAAGTCCTAAATGATCACCTTTAAAGTGTTTTTGTGCTAATAACATCATGTACAGTCAGACAGGCATGGAGAACAGCACTGACTGGGAGGCTTTGAACAGATCACATAGTTCAATTCAACATATGAGACTTTAAAAACGCACAAGCATCTACTTAAAATCTATTGAATGTATCATCTGTCATATTATTATGTACAATTCCACTGTACTTTGTTCATCTCCCTTAAATAAACAGGCAGTTTGCCAATCTGTTATTTACTCATTTTGACATACTGTAAATATTAAATATTGTGCTTAAAACATGAGTAGAAAGTGATATTTTTGACTGTAAAAACCACAAGCTTGTTTAACTAATCATTTTCATAACTTGAAATGCAAATAGAAATTGTACATTTTTTTAAAAATATGCACAAGTTTTGCAAACAACAAAGTTATATGGTACTATTTACCTAAAATGCAGCCAAGGCTCAGACTTTTTTTTATATAACCATTTCAAACTATTTACAGAACAATCAGGTGTTCTGCATCAAAGAAGAAGACAAATTATTTATGCAACTCCAAAAAATAGTTTGTGTCCACTATGACACAGATGAGAACAGCACAGGGATAAACCTGCAGGTCTGACAGCAGGCGTGTCACTCAGTGTTTACACTGCAATCTGCCTTTGGTGGCTTTTTTGCAGCAACTGTGACGTTCACTAGTAGAACTGACACACAAAACAAAACAACGACTACACCACACACTAACTACACAAGACAACACACTAACTTGAGACTCCAAACACGGCAAACGTCACAAACCTCTCACATAGCAAAACTCTCGCTCTCTCTCTTTCGCTCACTCTCTCTCTCTCACTGCTAAAACTTCCCCCTCTTCCCAAACAACCAAATGCCACATGTTGCCATATCATTTTTTGAGTGTTTTTTCTTTTTTCACTCACAATCAAAGCGTGTTTGCTAGCGCTCTCCTTAGAAAACGCTGTTTTTACCGTTTCTTCCCGGAGTAAACGACAGTTTTATTCAGAAAACCCCCCCAAAAAAACCATCGGTTTTACGTGGCCTATCAACACAATTTAAAACCTGGTACATAGTTTGAAATCTGCACGTTCGACCCAAGTTGAAATGGAGACTCTGGGCCTGTCGACCCCAGAGGGTTAATCAGAAAGCCTAAGTTGGCTAGTTATGTATCGGGCTAATGTTTAAAGCTTTCACTTGAGTAAATTAACTCATATTACTGCTATGTAATGTTAGCTAAGTTCACAGCATATTCCATAATAGCGCTGCCATACTGCATCACACTCAGTGCATTTCAATCATTGCTCCAGCGAGTTTGACAGCAAAATAATAATCATAATTTAAAAAAAAAAAAAAAAAAAGCGTGTGTAACGTATGCATACTGGAAAATTATTTACTAGCACTCACCTATCATGCGACTGGAAAGCGCAAACTCCGCCATTTGTTCCATCAAACACTCATTAAAACAGCAGCCTACAGGTATGTTAGCGCACTCATGCCCGACTGTTCGAGGGAGGGGCGGGGCCACATGTTGAAAGAGACGGAGGCGCAAGGGAGCCCAGACCACGAAATTTTGCTTTTACATTTTGCGACTCATTTTATTTCTCTATCTGATAAGAAAACTATTCAACCAGATAGTTATTTGTGGTGAATGAAATACAGTTACACTTTCAAGCACCACATCTAAAATTCAAGCACTTTTCAAACCTTGAAAAGACAACATTAAAATTCAAGCATTTTCAAGGATTTCAAGCACCCATATGAACCCTGTGTGATACTGTGGAAACTGAACGCACTGCAGTGTGAAGAAGACTAGTGGGCATTTCAGCATAATAAACATATAGTTTAGCGCACCAACAGTCCAACTTAAGACCCTTTCTGTTTGACTCTTTCTCATATGTACAGTAAGCTTATTTTAACTTGCACCACTTTTTCCTTTGTCTTTATGATAATCAGTGTATGTACGCAAACAGACCAATGGCAGGAACTCGTTCCACGTGACGCTACTCAGCCAGTCATATCCTTAATTCAGAGCATGTGTGAAAGACAGGATGTATAATTCTGAAGAAGTAGGTTGCAGAAAAGGAGGGTTGAAGCTGAGATGGCTTATATCTGAAATCTATAGATTTCAGGCCATTTTCTAAAACATATAGAATCAACATTTCAAACAAACAAGTTCCTCAGTTTAGAAACCTCCACAGCACTCTACATCAGTCTTCTTCACACACAGCAAAATCATCTCTGCAGCAAAATGTCAGTTGCCCTTTACAAAAAAAGTCCACAAATGAGCACACGATCAACCAAAGTGATAAAAATCAGCAGCATTGCATAGCCTGTTTCAACAATGCACAAAATGCCTTTCACACTTCAAAAGCATTGCTTCACTTAACCTAACCGCTTTTGTTTGTCACAGTTTAAATCTGTTTGTGGTGACAGATCAACACAAATTTTAGGTAGCGTATGGAAATTGTGTTTCGTAGGAAATATGGCAACTTGTTTCAGCTTAAAAATAAAGTTTGAGAGTCACAGGACGAGCCGCTAAGCAGTTTGTGTCATTGTTCTACTGTTTTGGCTGATAACGGTGTAGCATCCCTGACTGAATGATGGTCTCTTATACTGATGCTTCACAGAGGTTTGATTGGAAAAGTTTTTATTGAAATATTCAGTGAAGACACCGTAAGAGCTAGGAGCAAAACAAAACCAACAATATAACTACCATAACATCAAAATATCAAGGAAATAAATTTCTCCTGCTCACATATAGCATACAAATCAAATTTACATCACTTAATTCACTATATCACCTCACTAACTTACAACTACACATAAACTCTATTAAACGACATTGTGATTGCACATAACTTATTCCATTAAAGGAAACATTAACAAACCTTGTGCCACTGTCAGCCAGGTACAAACTGGCACAGGAAATGTACATATGTACATAGGGCTGCTCAATTAATCGAATTTTAATCTCAATTGCGATCTGGGCTTTCAACGATCATTAAAAATGACTGAGCCGATTATTAGCCCCTCCCTCATGCTTTACTCTCGCGCTGCTCCGTGTGGCAAATCGAGCGCACCTCTCTGCATTTCGAATACGCGTAACAACAATTAAGAGGACCCGAGGGAAGCTCGGAAAGCTAAGCAGAAGTTATTTGGAGAAGAGAGTGACTGTCGTTGGTTGAAAAGAGAGGTAAAAAAAAACTTCAGTGGTGTGGAAACATTATGGGTTGGTGGAGTCAGACGTGGATCAAGTAGACACAGTGTGTAAACTTTGCTACAGTGTCTCTGCACCACAGAGCAACACTGCAAAGTTCACTAAACATAGATGTTTACATTTTTCATTTATTTTTTATATTGCAAACATTTGCACTCTTGTCAGTATTTGCACACTATTTTATATTATTTTTTGACAATCTTTAAAGTCATTATTCAACACATTGTTATTGTTAAATAAATATCGTCAAATAATCGAGATCTCAATTTCAGTGAAAATAATCGTGATTATCATTTTTGCCATAATCGAGCAGCCCTACTTTAAGGCACACTATTTATCATATCCTAAAACAAACGTTACTAACAAGCCCTTTAACGGTTTTGCGCCAGTTTCCTGTTGCAAAATAAAAGCATGGATTTCAAAATAAAACCGAACTACCTTTCAAACTGCAAAATAGAAAAGGAACATTTTTAAGTCTTTCTCAGGAGTGGTCCAAGATAGGTACATATAGAGGACACATACTCTATATAGGAAGGTCCAGTCCGGGATGTTATGTTATAAACATACTATACAGTACCTTGCTAGAGCAATGTAACTTTGTGCCACAATGAGCAATAGAATGCATAAGTTGAGCATTTCAACTTGAGGGGTACTTTGAAATAATACAAAAATACAAACCGTTCAAATTTCCTTTCCCTTTTTTTGGCTTTGTGCCCCAAAAAACAGGAAACATATCTACACTGTTCCTCATTTTCTCCTACTGCTTAGCACGTAGCTGCTTACTAGTCGAATGTTTCCATTCCTACTGCTGTGTCAGTTTGCAAGAGACAAATACTTCATAATGCAGAGGCATAATGTTTGAAAAGCACGAGACCTACAAGAACAACATTTTCGGTGTGCCTGGGGAAAGGTACACTACTAACAGTGCTCTGCTTCATACACAACAGAGCTTTTAGCTCACATAAAAGCCAGCACTCTAAGGCCAATTAACAATTCTGCTATCAATATCAGCCTATAATCCAATTAAATAATTCAGCAGTAGATGTACTCCAGCCTTTTCAATCCCCTCATAAGAAAGTCTATATGCAACTCTGCGCTTCCTTGTAACCTCTTATGGGACTTCTGCAGTTTCATTCAAATGCAGATAAAAACCTTTTAGAGTTCGGTTAAGAAGCATCTGTAAACAGACAGACGGCTATTTGATGCCATGATGACCATAAATCTTGCCCTGATCGAGCATTTTAAATGAAGCCTTCAGATTGAAGTGCTTTATTCATGGCTGCCGAAAGTGCTAACAAATCCAACAAATATGAAGAAAGTTCTGAATTCACCATTTATGAGAGGCTGTTAGCTGACAGCTCATAGAATAATCAGCTCAGGTCATGGCTACAGTCAAACAGTCAATTTTGCTTAGGAAAGTTTCTAAGCGAGAGAAATGACCAAATACTTCTGCTACTGTAATACTAGCAGCAGATGTACTTGTAGTAGACCCCCAGCCCATTCTATCAGAACAGCTTGGTAAGACCTATATTAAATGGGGCTGACACATTTCTATGGTCAGGAAGGTGGTGTGAAAGTTGTAGACACAGGCTAGAGCACATGTGGGTGGATACTACTGGGAGTGATGAAGCTCTCAGGCAGCAAAACTCACCGATCCATCAGATGCGCTGGCTCCTACTTTGTCCCCTGTTGCATTCCAGCACACTTCAAAGATCCCACCTGTCCCTCGGTAGCTGTGGACTAAAGCACCCGTCTGGAGAGACACGCACAGATTCATCAATAACAGGCAACATCTTTAGAATATTGTGGTTCAGCATGTATTATCAGATCAGCTTTTAATTGGAAGGTAGCATCACAGACCTGAGTGTTCCAGATATGGACACACTTGTCAAAGGAGCCGCTGGCCAGGTGCCTGCCATCTGGGCTGAAGGCCACGCTGTAGACGGGCTCCTGGTGGCGGGTCAGAGTGTGGATGCACACGCCCCGCTCCACGTCCCACAGGCGCACTGTTGAGTCAAACGACGCACTGCAGAGAGAGGGGAACGAGAGAGGATGCAAAGGGTCATGTGTCAAGAACCATGTGCCAGATATAAAATACACTGCGTCAGTGGCATTACTGCTACTTAAAACGGAAACTGAAACCCACCCCTAAATAAATCTAAAAATCTAGTCCAGAGAGTAATTGATGGGAAGCAAACATGGCAGAGCTGCATTATCCCAGACGCAGAAATGAAGATGAATTTTTTTAGGCTGCTCGATGTTACCAATAACAAACCAATAACTCATTCTAAGCTTCAATTATTTACAATGATTCTTTATTCAGTTAAACATGCAGTTAATGAACTCTGAATTCAGAGAAAATACAAGGAAGTAATAATGCTGGCTAATGCACAGCCAACTCTTATTTGCATTGTGTAGTGAACCATGTCCAAATCCTGAGCACATCCAAATGAAAGCAAACATTTTTCTCTGGACTGTTCTTTCAAAGGGATACATCAGATCTCAGACAAACAAACAAGCATTTAACTCTCATGCCATAGTTACGTTTAACTGAAAAACTCCCAAAATGTTAGTATTAAAAAGGCCATTTACTATAAACAATCTGTTTATATCTGTGACTGTTTTCTAAAGGTGTTCCACCAACAACAATTTACATACCATTAACATTCCCTTATAAATAGAAATCCCCTTTGACACATGACATAGAGAGAAAAAAAGATGAAAAACTAGGAACACGTTTCATTCGATTCTTACCTGGCCAGCATGAGGCTGGCGTTGGGATTGTTGGTCCCAGGGCCTGTGGGGCTCCACTTGATGGTGTAGATTTCTTTACTGTGGGCCTGGAGGTCATGGACACACAAATCCTGCTTCATACTCCAGATCTATATGAGAGAAAATCAAGGCAACATTTAAAAGCTATTAATTTAACTTGTAATGTACGCTTGGGATTAGGGCTGCTCGATTATGGCAAAAATGATAATCACGATTATTTTCACTGAAATTGAGATCTCGATTATTTGACGATATTTATTTAACCC